GGGGGGGGGGGGGGGGGGGGCGATGGACTGCCTGACTGATCGGTGGCTGGTGTTTGCCTGGTGAGGAGAAAAAAGCTGAAACACGATGTGTATGGCAATGATATAAAGGCATGCACCGCACCGCACCCGCTATCCAATGAGTCAGTCTTTCGCTCGTGTGAATGGATCCCACACTTACACGTAAGGACACTGACATAAAAAAGCGCAAGTCGGGCTAGGCTCGGTACACAGCACGATAGACAGCATGGACTGAGCCAAAGAAGAGAGGCAGCCAGGTAGACGCACCAGGTGGGGTGCCGCATCGCCCTCCCCTCCTGGTGTGTTGCATCCCCTGAGCTGCTGCCGCCCCAACGGCTGCACCCCAGCTACCTCCAATGCCACCCCACCGCTGCACACGCCCGCCCGCCCCCCAACACTGACTCCTCCACGTGCAGTGGCCGTTGCCGCCCCACTGCACGCCAGCTACTTCCGATGTCTTCGTGTGTGCCGCCGCCCAAGTCCACCTCAGTCACTCGACGCCACCCCGACAGCTGCAGTCATGAAACAAGAGACAGTCTCACTGTTGTGTTGACTCATCGTGTGTGTGTACCTGTCTTGATGAGCTCGTTGACCTTTGGGAGGAGTGTGATGGCGTCGCCCATCTTGTTGTGGGCGATGTCAACTGCCCGCGGGAAGACAGCAGGGCCACTGCCGATCTGCTGGGGCGCCTCGGTGGTGTAGAGGATGATGCTTGCCACCCCATTACCCCAGTTGGCCATCCAGATGTAGGCCACGAACTCGTCGCCCTCCCTGTCGCCACAGAGCATGACGAGTCGGTGTGAGCGGCCGTAGCTGTGGTTGTAGTCGATGGTGCGGCAGCCGTCCCACAGGGGCGGCTGCTGGTCGATCAGGTCACCGATGCGATCACACTCAGCAGAGCGGCGACGGTAGGACCGACTCGACACCAATTGCGACGACAGCGATGCCAACCTGAAAGAGCAGGGAGGAAAAGGCATAGCAGTCGACACATTGGTGTGTTGTGCCCTCTCGTTTCACTCGCTGCACACCTCTTGATGGCCAACTCACGGAAGCTGCCATGCTCGAAAATATCGTCTGCAGGCACACACACACAGCGGCAGACGCCATCCATGCCAGGTCGCCTCCCCTGTGGTGCTTTCCCCTCTCTCTCTCTCACGTTCACACGGGGGATCGGCCGCATCGAATCGATCTCGATACCTGACCGGCACCGTCTGCTCGGTGTGCACCACCACCTCACTCCCGCCAAGCTCGTCCCTCCCATTGGCTGTGCGCCTCAGCCGCATCCCCTCGCCCCGTCGGTGGCTGAAGAGGGCATATTGCCTCATGCTGGGCGGCCGGCTGTCGATGACGGCCTTGCTGCCCACCTGGTGCAGGTCGACGCCCGTCAGCTCGATGGGCAGCTGCTGCACTCGTCCGCAGCTCTTGGACATCCGCAGCAGCGGCACGTTGCCCCGCCAGTCGCCCCCCGTCACCATCACATAGTGGAGGCGGATCAGCCGCATTCGGCGCACTAGACGACTGCCATGGCTCGACTGGCGCAGCGGGGTGTAGCCGATGACGCCAGTGAGTCCGTGGCGCTGGATGATGCTGTCGATGTCGGCGATCAGGGCGGCCTCGACGGCGCTGCCGACCGCTTCTGATGTGCGGCAGAGGGCGATCGTGTTGTGTGGGGTGAGGGTGGCGGGATCGTCACGGTGGCCGCTGATGAAGGGCAGCAGGCTGCCGCGGAGGACATCGGTGGGCAGGTCGGGCAGCCCGGGCGGGTCGGCCGCACCAGACGACGGCTCTGCGGGCGGCGCGTCAACACGGCGGCGCTTCGAATTCACCTCAACCTGCACACACACATCACACCACCCACACATTGGCCGTCATGGCAATGACGAGCAAGAGCGCAGCAGCCGTACCTTCAATTTTGTCTTGGTGGTCTTGGTGGTCTTCTCGTTGGCGGCGCGACGGATGAGCTTGAAGGTCTTGGAATGGCCTTCCATCTAAAACACACAAACACAGGCAGGAGAACCCACGGCTTTCATCAGTCGACAGACGATGGCTGCGTGGACATATCTGTGTAAACGCACCAGTGCTACGTCGTTCAGTCGGCCGACTGCTCTACAGAACTCTGAAGTGGCGCTCTCGAGCATCGCTGTGCGACTCTCAGCAACAGAACCCTGCACACAGACGACAGACCAGATCAACCGAAAGGAATCAATCACTCATTCACCCGTTCATTGTGCAACGGACGTGTTGACTCACTGACCTTCGCAGCGAGATATTTGATCGTGCCACTGGCCTGCGCACACCACACACACCATACAGGATACACACGACGCACATGACACACATGTCGCACGACAGCCCACCATCTCCCTCCCTGCCACACAGGTGGTCTCCTCTGCCAGTGCAGCACCTGAGCCACCTACCTGATCGCGGGCATGCTTCAGCTGCTTCACCACCCCACGCAGGCTCTGCAAAGACAGGCATACACACGACACAAGAAGGTCATGGGCAGCTGACGAACAGAAGACGGTCTTTGCATGTCTGTGTGTCTGTAATGGCTCACCGACTGGTCATCGTTTGTGTGCCGCTATGATTGACGAACCCAAACAGATTGCTACGTCCACCACCGCCTGGCCAACACACAAACCACCCCACACATGAGAATTCCTTTCCGCCCTCGCCCAGTCAGTTCTGTCAGCCCACCTGCGGCAGCTGATGCCGAGGGTGATGGGCCGCTCATCGCGCCCGCTGCCGGCTATGCTCACGGGCACCTCCAACCTATGCCTGAAGACCATGTGAGTGTGGTGTTTGCGATGAGTGTCATGGTTCGTGCTGTGCTTACCGGTGAAAAGGCAGCGACTATACACTCAACAGAGGAGCCATCGCCCTTTCTTTCTCCTTCGCCTTTGAAGCTCGCATGATCGAAGAGGATGGCGGCGAGCTTTGGCGGAGCTCGCGGCGAGTGAACGGCAGCATGCGAATCGGCATTGTGTCTTCCTCCCCACCCTTGAATTTCACTTCAAAAACAAGACGCCCCCATGGCAGCCCCCGGGCCCCATCATGACAGCGCGCAGTCTCCCTCTGCAAGCTCCATCTGACTTCAGTGCCTGGCGTCCTACGCAAATGCACTCATCTTCCTATGCATCATCGTCTGCCTCGAATACCTACACGTCTGCCCTTTAAGGCCCCCCCCCCCCCCCC